AGTTTATCCATTAAAGGAAAGTAGTTCGGTGTTCGCGCGACTTGCGTTGAGCCGGCCGTTTATTACACTTATGCACAACATAGCACTACATCGTCCGCGTACACGATAACTTGACCTCGCGGCGGTTTTAGAAGAATGTTGTTTACTATGCAAATCCTCCGCAGAGGGGGCGGCAGTACACAGCCTTGCGGAGCACCTCGCCTTTAGCAAAATTCCTTCTCACTTCTTCAGTGCAAAAATGGAGTCTGAGCTTAAGCTCAGCTTTTATGCAAGAGGCTCACTCTTACTCAATAGGGGTATTCTCTGAGTCTTGCAAAGCCCTTGCATGGTGCACAGATTGCACGGGTTGCACGGTAAAAACCGGTTTTCGTATGGGACAGCTTTGCAAACCGTGCAATCCGTGCACCGTGCAAGGGCTTTGCAAGACTCTGAGAATACCCCTCATATAATTTAAAGTAAGAAGATGACCATTTCTATTAACTGATTTTCTTCTTATTTTACTTCATCATTAGATATGCCTCCGATGGCGAGGAGCAGCCAGTACTGGAGTCCATGCGGGATTACTTAATAACTACTATACAAAAAACTTTCGAAGTCGGCTTCGATCAAGCGGAAAAACTTTACCAAGAACTTTTGCAATGCACACGAAATAAAAATTTGGTAAGTAAATACATACTATGTAAATAAATAAATACACAGATAGAATACAATAAAAACAAAAAAAAAACGAAATTGCTTGGTATTGCCGGCTGGGAAATTATGGCCAGTATTGTTGTTGCTTTGTACTTTTTGGTATACTACCAACTTTCTTTCGACAACTACTATGCTAAATTGCATAACTTTTGCTTCGCTGACATGCTTTGGGATATCTATGGCCAGCCTACCGCATATCGCCTGCTGACTTTTCGTCTCTGACCACATTTTCAATATGAATATTAACCTAGAATGTGGTAAAATATGCAGATATTTCCTTTAGCTTTTATCTACTTTCGATACTCTGCGGATTTGTCTGCATAAATATTTTGTGGCTATGGCCTTAGACGTTTATCTTTTCAGTCAGTTTGCATAAGATTTATTAAATATGCGCAAAAAATTGAAAAGTTTTCTGATCATTTGGGACTCTTGTTGAGTGCGCTCTAATCGAAAAAATTTGGAATGAAGTGATGTAAGAATATCGAAATAAAATTAGGACCGTTTGGGCAAGTAGGTTTTAAAATGTATCTGCCCTTGAACAAATTTTTTTCTGATAGATTTTAAAACGTACTCGAACAACGCTACTTGGAGTATTGGCAAAATTGTATGCACTCTTCTTCATATTTTGTTCATTTTCATCAGCAGTTTACCATTTTAACGATATCCTTCAAAATTCCCCCCCCCCCCCAATCAAACGAACGCGTTAGGCGATAAAATTTACGAAATGCTTCTTATGTTTCCCCCCCACCACTTTTTCAATACACAGATAACCGTTTTTCGTATACAAGAGAAGCCCGAAGGCGAGGCGCAGGAATTGGATCAGACCATATTGACGGCGCTGTTCAAATCGCAACACTTGAGCCCACCGGAACAGCTGAGTTTGGCGTTGACATGGAATCGCGTCGATATAGCTCGTAGCGAAATTTTCGTCTATGGGCAGGAATGGCCACACGGTAGGTTGTTGCTTTGCATTTGCTCATTAAAATGTACGCATGTAGATATGTACGCATCTATTGAAATTTCAGTGCCGTTATTTTGCCGCTGATAATATTGTATTTTCAGTTTTCATTCATTTAGTTGCAATGTTGAATTTAAATTTAAATTTGACAAGCTTCAATGAAGATGTTTATCGAATTTAATGAACTTCCAATTTTGGTTACTCATCTTGTTTTGCATTCCACATTGTTGTCTGCTTTTAGGCGCTTTGGACGAAGCGATGATGCAGGCACTCGAGCACGATAGAATCGATTTTGTGAAATTACTATTGGAGAATGGTGTTTCAATGAAGAAATTTTTGACAATACCACGCCTTGAGGAATTATATAATACAAAACATGGTCCAGCCAATACTTTAGGGTAAGTAGAAGATCAATAAAAATGCATGTGAAAAAGCAAAGTCGGAGTGATAATGCTTTCACCCGCTAGAATTGTTCTATATCGAAAAAAGTATGGCCCTATTTTTTTTTTATTTTGAAATCAAAAAGTATTTAGAGGTCGCTCGAAGCGCTCAACGGTTTCCATGTATTTATTATATTTATGAAAAAAAACAACTTTTCGTAGAAATGGTATAGAATTCTTAAAAATCAATATTTTTCTATCGGAAAACTATGTTTATCTGCAAGAAATTCCCAGTAATAATACCAAACGTTTACTTAACCATTTTTGCATCGCAACTATAATTTATAGGTCCGCGATAAAACTCCGAAAACCCCGAAAAATGCAATGGGGGGACCAATGAAAAATCGTAAGTATTCAAAAATTGTTAAATAAACAATTGGGTATTATTATTGAAAGTCTCCTGAAGAGAACCAGAGCTTTCCGATCGAAAAATATTGATTTTAAAGAATTCTATACCATTTCTACGAAAAGTTGTTTTTTTTCGTATATAAAAATTCATGGAAAACTTTGAGCGACCTCAAAATATTTTTTGATTTCAAAATAAAAGAATTGGGTTATACTTTTTTTCGTTATAGAACAATCCTAGGTGGTGAGAGCATTACAATTCCGACTTTACTGTTTTTGGACCACCCTAATATACATATATATGTACAAGAGAATTAGTTTTGATTTTTGATGTGTAAATCAGAGTTGTATCGTTCGTTGGATTTTCAAAAATTAGGTGTCCAATTAAAGGGCTTGATCTGTAGATGTGCAATATGATTTTAGTTTTTTTTTTTTGAAAAAGGGTGACCACCTTTTTGAAAATTAAATTGGAATTATTTAAAAGGTTAAATTAATGATTACCTATTTGTAAACATCGAAATAGTTTTGAAATAGCTTTAGTTTTTAATTACATGCCGGCGGTTGCCACCTGTTTAAAAGTGAAATCAATTCAATTCTTCAGTTAATTAAAATTCGAATTCTTGTAAACTATGTATTCCGATATATACAAACTTTTCAATGGTCTTCCTTGGCTGAATTCTAATAAAATTTAATTTTATTTGCTTATAGTTACATTTTACGCGATGTACGTCCACACATCCCCAAAGGATACGTCTACACATTACATGATATCGGCTTAGTTATTAACAAATTGATGGGTGGCGCGTATCGGTAAGTAAACTTCTTATTTTGCTAAATACAGATTTCTAATTACGTATGCAAACATACCCAGTGGGAAAATGTAATGTATAGTAATCGAAGAAATAATTAGTGAAAAACCCTTTTCACATTCGAAAATGCATTTTTTCCCCAGGGCGATGTCCTAAGAAAAGTAGGGCATTCAATTTTGCATTGCAATTTTTTGAACTTTTTGAAATTATTAGAATTATGATTACATAGTTAGCAGTAATATTATCGAGAACGCATAAGAAATACATTATATTGTTTATCACGCATGTAATGCTTTACTACTTTTCCGACTGGGTAACTATGTGTAAAACGACATACATATGTAGTTAGTATACAGAGCATATCTACGAATGCAACTGACAAAAACCAAACATTTTCTTTTTGCAAAAGTCAACATACATCAAAGCACACAATATCCAAAAATTTTTTAATTCTGCCACTTTTGGGCAATAACTAAAAAAGGCAGCTTAAAATACGCATAGTTAATTAAATACAAACATATTTGGCTATTAAAAGCAAACATTTAATTCCGGCTGGCTTTAAACTTTAAGAGAAAGGGTATTCTTTGGGAATTTCACTTACTCACTTTCTCTACTTGCTTATTTTCCCATTTAATGGGTTAATAGGTCAGGCGTACGGCTCGCTACGGCATTCTGCTGCCAGTTTATGGTGTGAACTGTTAAACCGAAATATGTACTTTGGCTGACCAACGGGCAGGCGAATGTTTATATGAGGATGAGTTTATGTAACTTTGTATGTATGTGTGAAGTGTGCCGTGTGTTAAGCCGAGTTGTTGACTTTGCGCTTCAGTGCAAGGGATTAATTTAAAGGTCCCTTGCGTGCGCCGCAAAGCTTTGCCTACTGAAATTTGTATATCTCTGAATGCTACGCGCTTGTGTTTTTTGTATTGTGTGTGTGTGTCCCTTAAGCACACGCAGTGCCATATACATAAGTTTTCATGCTTGCTTATTTTTGTAGACCTTTATGTGAAAATTAGTCCTTGATAAGGTTGCTCTTGCACTGTGAACTCGACGTACATAGTTAGCAGTTTTCGGGTAATAAGAGCAAAATGTGAATGTAGTTGCTTGTAGCTAACCGAAATTGTTTGAACTTTAATTTGATTCTTTAAAAATGCTTGAATTTGTGTATTAATTGGTACTCTTTACTCTGCGAAGGGTTTCATGCTTGGCTTTGGGTGGCTATGTAGCTGAGAGATAATTTAAATTAATTAATTAAATTTAATAATTTTGTGTGTAAAGTATGGATTATACGAGGGTTACTAACTAAGTCTATAGATGCCGCAATCCTAATGTCATTTGAGTCGCTCTATATACACCAGAAAACATTGACGCAAGACGATAACACAGCAAAAAAAAAACAGTGGCTGATGTCTCGTTTTCCCCACTACGTCAGAATTGGTCCCTAACCTCAAAAAACATGGCGGCTATTATGTGATACTTGTGATATTTTTTTAGATAATTTAATTTTGAAATGTTTTTAGGTTGGTTAACCAATTGTTTGATTAATATACATATGTACACAATCCTTTTGGAGTAAAATATGAGCATCTTATAAATTTATACGTAAAGTTTGGTACCAGCACCTCTTTCGGCAAGAGGAAAAATTTTGGACGATGCCCCAAACCATATCTAGGGGAAAATGATTTTGGACCACTCTAATACATAGATATGTATGAATATTACCAACTCAGTTATTTTTACAAGCTTTTATTTAACTTGTTAGCCTCTCTATGCTGTGTGCTTGTCCTCAAATACGCATTTATGACAGATATTTTACGCATTCAAGGATGTTCATAAATAATTTTAATTGAAGACAATTTCAATATTTGAAAATCACTCATACGCCATCGGCTGGCCTACTTTGCGAACGCGAAATAATTTTGAGTTATCCCTGCAAAAAATGGGACTAATCCGGGATGACTCCGGGATCAATCGCAAAGGAGCATGCGACTAATACCACTTTTGATCTCTTTATATGGAATGAACTGTTCGCTTTTGTTCGAGCATGTCCTATGAAGAGACTAATTGTTCACCTTTATACCCGAACGGGTATAAAAAGCGACTAGTCAGTTTTAAAAAATAAAAATAAAAATCTGCGCCAGCTTAGATTCGAACCGTGGCGCTCAGTTTTGTCAGGCGAACACTCTCTCTCTGTGCCAACGCCGCACTTGAAATTTCATTGCCGAAGTGCTTACATATCATTAAATCGTTAATAGTACCCGTTAGAGATGAGTTGGGGACTAATTGATCTCCAATTATACCCATAAGGGAGGAGTCGAGACTAATTGATCTCCATTAGTACCCCTATGAGACTAGTTGCGACTAATTAATGCCGAACTGTACCCGATTGAGAGCAATCTCGGAATACTCTCTTTAGAGATTAGTCGCACAATTTTTTGCAGGGATGTTAATGTGTGTGGGTGTGTGCGTGTGTGTGCGTTACGATGCTTCGATGTTGATACACGCTAATGAATATTTTTGTAGATTTTTCTGTTATGTACAGCATATTCTTAATTTCTATTCCACCAAGCCACACAAATGTTGCAGTTGATCCACAAGGTCCAAAGACTTGAAATCTGTGTCGTTATCCTTTCGCTGCTTTAACTAAACATGAAGTTTTCCTCTTTTTGCGCGCTATCTCAACAACGTTTTATTAAAGTTCCAAATCTACCTAATTTCTTTTTATTTTTATTTTTTCCCTTTTGCCTTTTATCTTTTAAGACTTATCAACACTTATTTGCTTGCCCTTTTCGTTTTTTTTTGCTTATTTTACGAGCACTTGAGCACTTTAAGCCAAAAAGTTTTATCCAGCTCGCATAGAATTCAAAATCAAATGCCGGTCTAACTACAATTTGATGGTGATGACACTGATAATGTTATTGGTATGTATGTAGCTAGTTGCTTTAGTTTCTTTAGTAGGTGGTAATAATGACTTTGACGAGGATGCCAGTTGATCCTTTTTTCGTTTGGGTAATTTTTTGCAAGTATAGTTTTTGTTTAACATTTTTTGTTTTAGTTACCCTGAATTTTACTGCTCAAGAGATTTGGGGCGTGATTTTGCATTGAAATTTATTGTGTCACTTTTGTTGTGTGCTGCTTATATTCAATTTGCTGTCCCTTTTGTGTTTTTTCTCATACTAGTAAATTTTTTGTGAGTATGGATTTTAGGCAACGAAATTAAAAAAAAAAAGAGAAAAAATTTCATGGTGCTTTAGCGTCTTAATTTTAGTTTGATAGGCTTAAAAAGGAATAGAAAGAGTTTTTTTTTTTACAGTTTGAAAAGCAATGGTGTGCCCATGCAGCGTGTCCATTGGCAAAATAATCTGGATTTCAGGAGTACCATAAATATTATTTTTGAATTTTTTAAATTTCTGGCAAAATGATTTTAAGTCATCGCCTATAATAGCTGCGGTGGACTTGGAGGACTTTGGCAGGACCTAGAATTGACCCAATATATTCCAGTTTGTTGATAAATTTCGAGAATGTAATACATATCGACAACTCAATGAATTTTAAAAAACACAAGATCCGATAATTCAACAAAACTCGATAACTCGGCAGATTTCGATAATTTCGATAACTCAAAAATATATATATCTCGATATAAATCGATAGTTCTATAAAATTTGGATACCTCTATAAATCTCGAGAACTCGTTTAATTTTGATAGCTCCATATTTTTCGAAGATTTCTATAATTCATTGCACTCTGGTAACACGATAAAATTCAATAAATAGGGATAACTCGATAAACCTATATAACCTTGAAATTTCCATAACTCCAAAATATCGATTCGATAAACCGAAAAATTTCAATATCAAAATAAAAGTCGATAACTTGATAATTTCAAGCAACTCAACGCCTTACAATGACTCGATAAATGTCGTTAATTCCGTAAATAATAATTTAATAAATATGGATAACTGACACATTTCATTAACTTGACAAATTTCGATAGTCCCATAAATTTTTATAGCTCGATAACTCTCCGTACATTTCCACAACTTATTTTCTGTGTCTACAAATTTCGACAACTCAATAAACATTGATCAATTTGAATAATTCGATACGTTGCGATAACTCAATAAATATTGATAACTCGATGAATTTCGATAATTATAAACTTGGATGATTCGATAAATTGCGGTAACTTGATAACTTTCGATAACAAAATTTTTTATGACTGAATTTATTTCGATTCCTATCTTAGTATTTCACTTACCCTAATTCTTACGTACATCTCGGTTCGGTAAAATCGCTAAACGAACGGTGCCAAAATTTAGTTAGCGTATTAATATATAGATAACAATAATACTTCGCGTTATTTTTTAACTTTCTCAGTTTTGTCCAATAACGCAATTTTTTTTTAAGATATTGGCCAACTAAGTTTTCGATATACATCTTGTTTTTTTGAAGTTTTGGTACGCCATTTCCGAGATGACATTTTTTCCCACTCCTGCCGCAACTTTTTCCTTATGTCCTTTATCAACCCCACGACAGTGCTGTCATTGACCTGCTATGTGGTCCTGTTCCGTTTCAAGCTGAAATCCTGAACATTTTTTTTGACAGTTTCCTTGGTGTTTCTTAGCTTGCTTTAAAGTAATGCCTGACGTTTTCCGGATTCAGTATGTTTAGAACGAGGTCAATGTTTTTGGATACAAGAAAGTTAATGGTGAATCTGGCTGGACTTAAGCTGTCAAGAAAACTGTGGCAGCAATCTTTTTTAATTTTTATTTTTTTTTGAATATGCTAGTTGTCACAAATGAGGGTGTCCTTTTGCCACATTGGCAAATTGCCTGCCACATAAGATACTTCTTACTTTTCAATATTGATTGAAATGTCTGTATCCAGGAGTGTTTCGGCCTTTGGTCCTGTGCTCCGGGAAGTGTGCCAAAGTCCACTTTTACGTCCAAAATGATGCAAGCTTATTTTCTTTCATAAAATTCCACAGATTTCTGTCTA